ACTTCAATGCATAAGTCAATTATAATTTTCTATTGTCATCCCAATTCCCGACGAGAGCATAACATTTTGCCTTCTCTAGCGTCATTCTCGAGCTATCTCTTTTTATCATGCTAACACATAATTTATATATTCAATTGTTAAAAATTTAAATATGATTTCATCGCACAAAACGTCCATACATTTGGCATGTAGTATGCAAAATGTCCATACGTTTCAAATTTTTTGCATTTTCACCTCTATTTCAACGTTTCATTGCGAAAAATGTCATTTTCACCTATTTTTAACGTAAAATGACCAATATACACTCCTATATAAATAAAACAAAACAAAAAAGAAAAAAAATAAATTGCAATCTTACTTCTAAACTTTTTAAAAAATATAAATGAGTCCAAAATTTATGAAAATATTAAAAATAACAAAAAAACTCTTTCTCTGTTCTCCTTCGCTTCATCCGCCGCCGCCGTCGCCATCGCCGCCACCGCCGCCAAGACCATTGGAATTTCACCCCTTTATTTTGACTCTAAAAACAATTGACTCCAAAATTTGGCTCGGACTTCTTCTCTCTTCTCTTCGTGGTGTGTGAGGAACGACATTTGACTCCAAAATTTAGCAAACGAGGACTATAATTTCTGCAATTGAACAATTACCCAATGTTGTTTGAGCCTGAATTTGAGTTTTCCCAAGTTGATTCGTATGTTGGGACACAATTGAGCCATGAATGGATAGAATAATTTCCCCTTCGCGCGGACGAACAGTTCGTCATATCAATCCAAAATTGTTTCATTTAGCCGATGAATTGAAGCAATTGAATCCTTACCCAGGGTCATTTTACCTTTAATTACATGCTGGTTGATGCAATTTGTAGATTGGAGTTGTGGAAGGATGCCAATTGAAAGGGGATCCGACCGATTTTTAACGCGTGTGCATTGTCAAGTGCCGTTCTTCCATTTTTGGGCAAATTTGAAGATAGGTGCATTAGGTGCGCCTTAAGTAAGCAGTGCTAGGGAAGGTGGACTGCGGTCGTGGGTCTTAACACCGACGTCGAAAAATGAGTTTGAAGTAACCGAATTCCCTGTTGAAGAGAATGGCTGTAGATTCTGATTTTCAGTTTTGTTTGATGTTATGAACACATCTGTAGGAGCGTAATGAGAGTTCAATTGCAGAGGGGTGAAATTTCGATGGTTTTGGAAGCGGCGATGGTGGTAGTGGAGTCGGAGGAGAAGGGGGAGATAGTTTTTTTTTTTTAAATAATATTTTCATAAATTTTGGAATCATTTGCATTTTTTCAAAAGTTTAGGAGTGAGATTGCAATTTATTCTTTATCTTTTTTATATAGGAGGGTATATTGGTCATCTTACGTTAAAAATAGGTGAAAATGATGGTTTCCGCAATGAAATGTTGAAATAGGGGTGAAAATGCAAAAAATTGAAACGTATGGACGTTTTGCACACTACATACCAAACGTATGGACATTTTGTGCTACTAAGGCACTTAAATATTTTAAAGTGTAACCTTTGCATGAGCTAGATGCAATTTAGTTTAGACTTAAAGACGAAGTGAATCGTGCAAA